AAAAAACATACAGCAGCTGCGTTGCTGAACACGCTTTATGATTAATTCGCCTGGAAAATATAGAACCATAAATATTTCCAATCTGCATGTTCATTCTCTCTCCATGTATCGATTCGTATTATAGGGAAAAAACATAAAAGCAAAGCCTAACACGTAAAGTTATCAAGACTCTGGCGCAGCAGTGGATAATTATTGGAGAGAGAATGGATCGTGATTCACTGGCTGCGCTGGCTTTGTCCGTGGAAAAAGACACGAGGATGGTTGGTGGACATAAACAAAAGACACACGGAATCACGTGCTTAAGATAAATAAATTAATCGAATTAGATGGATATTTTTCCCTCGGGTTTAGGGTACTGTTCGCTTGGCATTCTGTTCCACCCAACCCTTGCATCACGTTTTTGGTAACCGATCTGACTGCTATTCGCAGCGTCGCAGGTTTTTTTATTTTATTTTATAAAAAATAAAATAAAAATTATTTTAATATATTTTTAAATAAAATAACATTTAAAAAAACATCATCCACTCTAATATTTGACACATAAATTAAGTGTTTGTTCTAGTGATCAAATATGTTTCTTAAGTATTTTTACTTAAAAATACAATAATTTAATGCTTTTTAGGGGCTTTTTGATAATTTATAAAAATATATTATCTTGATAAATTTTTATTTAAAAGTACTATGTATTGCAATACTAGACAGGCATTTACATGACCTTTTTCAAAGATAATTTCATAGTTATCAAACTAGGTTGAAGGTTTGCAAAATTAATTTGTATATAAGTGAATTAACCTCTTGGATTTATTCTAACGCAATGTTATTTAAAAATAAACTAAAATTTATTAAATCAAGTCTTATTTAAATTTAACTAAATTAATTAAATTGTGATTAGCTAATTGAGTTAAGTAAGTTAATTTAAATTAACAATCACTTTGATTAAAAATAAATCAAAATGATTATGGTACTAAGGTAATATTAGTGATGAGATAGTGATATTTTGATGATAAGATTAGCAATATAACATTATATATATAAAAATCAATAACATAAAATAAAAACCACTTTTAATTATCTTATAAAAAACACAAGTTTTTATTTTTTTTTCAAGAAAAAGACATAAAACATAAAACCATACTAATGCCAAAAAGGTATGCATCTAAAAATTGTAAAAAGGAAAAAAAAAAGAAATTAATTGGTAAATAAATGTGTTTTATGTATGATTTTTTTTTTTCAGAAACAACGGAGATTGAAATTGAGAGGCTGGAAGGAGAAAGATCCTCCTTTCTTTTCCACTTTAACCACATACTCCCTTAGAACCCTTAAATTGTTAGCTCATATAATAATTGAATTTGTTGGATCTTCACTATACTAAAAAAAAGAAGAAGAAAAAAGGATAGCTTGATGGAAAGGAAAGGAGGGAGATCTTAATTTTATGGGGAAAAGAATCAAGGTTTTTGGTGGCTACCAACCACAGTAAAATTAAATTAAATTAAAAAGAAAACAGAAAGGAAGAAAAAGGCAAGTCAATGTGTTTCCTCCTGCAAGATTCCTCCTGGTAATAAGAACAATTAGAATCAGAATGATAGTTCTCATCACAAGTCCAGTTCTAATTTAATTTAATCACAGACACAGATGGGCGGGTAAGGTGAGGTGAGGTTGCCCGTTATAAATTCCCGGTCTCCCGTACGCAACCATCACTTTCATTCACGGCTAAATAAATAAATAAATAAATAACCCATTCATTGTTGAGTAGAAGAGTGCTACCATCTATCTATCTATCTTCAACGACCTCAACAAGAAATCCACCATCCGAATTTCCTGGTCTGTGCTCTTTCTTTGCTTCTCTCACTTGGATGCAATCTTTTCATTTATTTATTTATTTTATGGTTTTACTGCTTTTTGCTAGCTAGTTGTAGATTCCTTTTTCTGTTTTTCCCTTCTGGTATGTGGTTCTGTTCTTTGACTTGTAATCACTACTAGCTTTTGTTGAATGCTTGTTTGTGTTTATCTGCTAAATATAGTAACCGGGTATGCTCCAGTTTGATCAGTTGACCTTTTCCTGCAAGAAATTCGACTGACAGATACAATCAGAGATGCCCTTTTTTAGCTGATGTAGTCTGTATGCTTTTATTTGGTGGAAATGGGGGGTTAGATTGTATACATGGAATTTGAATACTTCTTTTAGTTTTATCTACTGGGTTGAGTTCTTCACGTGCTGCTTCTTTTTTGTTCTTGCACTGTGAATGCACGTTACTCCTGACCTTGTAACAAGACTCGACTTTGTTCATTTTTGGTAGGGATGTGACTATTTGTTGACAATAAGT